TTACATACACAAACTTTTCTGAATTTTTATAAAAGACTAAAATATTAATTTAGCCTTTTATTAATTTTTTTAATAGAAAATCTCAAGATACATTTATTCAGTACTTAAATTTTAATACTATCAAATTGCTAATTAAATTACTACTAGTTAATAAAATCATAATGTAGAAACTTTAATTTTTTTTTCTTCTTTCAGTTAGTAAGGTTTTTTTTTTATTTGTGGTTTTAGTAAGGTTAGAAAAATAAACTTAATGTGATAAAATAAAATTAGAATTAAAATGCTTTCTATGAAATTAATTTATGAAAATATGTTTTAAAAAATTTGATCCTATTTTTTATTTTGCTTAACATATTTATTCAGAAATTTGAATATTGCAGAGATTAATCTCACAATCCATTACATCAGCAAAATTTGTGTTAAACATTATCTAACAATGTATTATAATTTATTGATTGCGTATTAAGTATTCTTATCAAGGACACTGCATATTACTTTGCATTTTAATTTAGTATATTAGAGGCCAAACTTATTTGAGTATAGTTTCTAAATATACTTAATAGCTCTGATAGTATTGACAAAAATTGATAAATTATCAAGATTCCATTGCCATGGTAATATTTGTGTACAGTATTGTTTTCATAATTTTATAGTCTATAAATATTATTGAAAATTTATTTTTACTGCTAAATTTTTGGCTAATTTATATTTTTGAAGTAAATAAAATGAAATCTTATATAAAATTTTTTATATATTAAAATAATCATTGCATTAATATTGTATTTATAAAATAAATTTGTGATTATTTTTTTTTAATTTATAGTTCATAAATTAAAAAAATAAGTCTCTTGTAAGTCTTGTAAGTTAAAGTATTTGAAAGCATTTTGTTAGATGATATTAATTTAATACTAATTGTAAATAAAATTCATAAGATATTTTAAGTTTGTGGTTATTGAAATATTGACAATTTCAATTATAATAATGAAGTAAACATTTTTTTTTTTAATTTTCATGTATTACTAAAATTAGACTAAGCAATAAATTTATTTTCGTAAGTTTTTATAGCTTACATAACATATAAAATTGTAACTTTTAGTTATTAAGTTAGAAATTCTAGCTATTCATTTAATAGCTTCAACATTAAATATTTAAAGATTTGGCAGTAATTTAGACAAAGTGACCAC